GGTGAAGCGATGAGATGGCCGTGTTTCTGACCCATGTAGAAGAACTAACTGACTTTACTGACATATGTGTTGGAAATCCGGATCTTGTCCTTTATGCTGTGGAGTGCAGATTTTCAAATGATTTCAGGTTGATGAACACGTATTTTGCCTTTCCGATTCTGGCTGGTAGGTTTTGACATCTTTTGACATCCGTTACGAATACCTGCGGTTGAAACAGTGCTTCCTAGATGAGTGAAGGCAGGAAGTAATCTCTGTCAATTTTTCTCCGGTTTATGGTGATTGTTGCTGTTGCTGTCGGTGGTGACTGGTTACCTTCATCACCTCTGTCTCCTCTGTGTTCACCTGGAATCCTGTCTTCGGTGCCAACCAGCTAGCCTCTTTAATCAGTTTGTTGGTATTCACCTGCAAGTCTTCGAGTGTGTTTTATAAAGTCTAATTATCTGTGGTAAGGCGTATTCTTGTCACCTCACTCTCCAAAATATGGCGCACAATCCAGTCCACCACAATTAAGAATATCATCGGTGATAATGAACAGTTCTGTCTCACTCCTGTATTCACTTAGATCATCGGCATACTTAACAAGATTGGTTCCATCAGAATGGGGTAAATAAGTCATATCAGAAGAAAGAAAACAAAAAAAGAGAAAAAAAGTACTGCCCCTTGAGTTAAGAACACCAGCTACAGTAAGTGAAGCAGTGGAGCACTTCCCATTATATACTGTATACTGTTTCCGACCAACAAAATAGGTATCCAACCAGTGAGAACCTACTAAACTACTCCTCAATATCACGTAAAACATTTTCCTACAACACAATTAACAGTCTTTAGTTGGTTTTATGAATTTATATTATATAAAATATTAGTCGAGTTCCGCAACCTTTAGAAATGATTCATAGAAAAGAGCAGTTCTCTTTTATATACATATATATATATATGATGGAAGACAAAAGACCTGCTGAGTGGTTCACTCTGTTAGGCATTCAACCTCCATCGCACCCCACAGGTGACAGTTTGAACCTTGTAATACCTATTCACGTTTCAGAAAAGATTCTATGACAACTAGAAACAAGGGTGATTCACAAAATGTGACATGTGTTACCGTACTGTATGTGGTAGCTGAGATTACTGATCACTTCTGCTTAGAAACTGAATGTACGTGATGAACAACGTTTCATTCCTCGTATTATTGTTATTATTATTGTAATTGTCTTCACTGGTATAAAAACCTATTTCGCCATTCAATATCAACCAAGATAAACAAATAAATTTTTAGTTCATTGTACAATTTCCTTTTGTTTTATTAAACCAAATGTCATACAAATTAATAATATTTAAAAATTAAAAATAACAAAGAGAGATAGAGACAGAGACAGAGAGAGTAAAGGCTTTCATGTCATTTGTCATTGTACACTGAATGCATGGCATACATGACATACATGACTCTTACTCAAACTTTCGTTTCCAATTAACAATTAGGAGTGTGTGTGTGTGTTAAAACACGTTTAACTGTAAACTGTACTCAGGAAAAATAAGAACCATACAGTATTATAAACAAAACAAGCCAACAAAAAATCACTCCACTGAATGTCAACAGTGTTTTAGTAGAATATTGAATTAAAATCAAGACAGTAGATGTCTCCAGCATTCGATGGGTTTAATTCATGATCTCACTTCAGAGGTACTCGGGTACCTAGACTGCCACCACATGCTCTGATGGTGTGTTCTGTGGACTTTTATCGCCAAATCTGTCAAGGTTGACGGGATAGTGCATGAGGTTTGAAGAAGGCTGCGTGCTATATGCATGCACCTCGCACTGATAATGTCTGTGTGCATCGGTGGTTCGTTCAGTGGTACACTACTACTCCACCAACCACGTACATGACTCGAGGTTCGACCTCTCGTTGACATACTCTGTAAAGCCTCCATTGACTGGTAGTAAAGTAAGTCCAGTCAGTAGTGAGGGAAGGTAGGGGGGAGGGGGGGTAGGCTGACAACCTCTCACCTCGGAAAAATATAAGCAACATCACTGCTATTGATTGAAACCTTCAAAGTTCATGTGCTTCAGGCTCCATCGTTCAGTTGGAACCTAAGGGAATCAAATTTTTACAGGTCACATATTCACTTACACGATAAAATAAATACTACCAATAACTCAGAGAGTTCGCCAACTTCCACTACACATCTAGCAGAGTATCAGAAATTCAATTCTAACTGACTGACTGACTGACAGGCTGACTGGTTTCAACATACAACTTTGTACAGAAGTGCACGACTTTACCTTGCCACACTCCATGTACATCACACAAAGGAAGACAAGGAGAGGAAAGAAGCCATGAAAATGTATGTATATTGCCCCGTCCGTGTTCTTTTCCTATGCAAATTTCTCTATATACAATCATGTGGTTTTCTTGTAAGGAGGACATCTGGGAAGGCAATTCTGTTTTTCTCTCAACAAATATCTCCACCATCTAATTCTGTCACAGCCAGCGTCAAATATATATTACAACAGCTAATCAACCAACCAAAAGCGGAAAACAAATCGTGAAACTCACCATAACTGAGGCGCACACTATCCCTGTTCAAAAACGTGTCAACGTGCATCATCAAAATCCAAAAAGAAATGGTAGACAGCCCTCTCACAGTCCACCGACAGGTGCCACCAATCAGCTGTAGTCAACCTCGCTGCCACATAATCTCAAGTGGACTCCATGTTGAAGTGTATAAGCGCTGAAGTTTATTGTCCAGGGCAGAGACAATGAAAGCTTAGCGTCACGATTCAAACACCCAGATCAGAGACTAAGTACAACCAGCCCGATCACACCAAAAAAACAAAACAACATCAGTACTGTCTCTGTGTAGGGCTAACATCCATGTCTTAACATTATTTAGAAGTGAAAGCAGAAGGCAACATATTAGCGCCATTCTCTATTGTTCACTACTATGTATGTATGTATGTACATTTTGACATGTGCGCGCGCGCAATGGTGTTAGGTGTACGATAAAGTCTACACAGTAGAATTATTATTATTATTATCAATATTATTATCATTATTATTATTATTATCATTATTATTATCAATATTATTATTATTATTGCCATAAATAATCTCATGCTGTGCCTGCCTATTCCTTTGATTCATTTGTGCCTAAACTATAAAGAAAGTATACTATGGGTTTTCAGTTGTCTACACACACGCACAAATGTTTTGCTTTGCAAGGAATATTAAGAAGTCGTGTGTCACAACAACACATACACACTCCACGAGCACATGACTAAGTATTTTCACAGGAATCAATCTTTCACACAATTGAGATATATAATAGTAACCAATTCACATGTTGAATTGTGCTCTATAAATAATGTGTCTCACAAGTGGCTACAATTTTAACAACTAACTAGTGTAAAAGGTGACGAATAAAAATAAAACGATTTGTGGAGATCTTCGATTCATTACAATGACTGACTGACTGATTTCAACATAGAACGCATAGCACAGATGTGCACCAGTTCCAGTTGCTACACTCCCCACTCCATGTACCACACAAGGCAAGAGAAGAGAGCAAACGGTGTCGCGAAAGCGACGGAGGGAGATTAGAAACAGAAATATGAAGCAGATGCGACTTCCCAAATAAGTAAAGTCGCCAACCACTTCACTCCCCCTCTTTCAGCTAGGAGTCAGCGTATTCCAGCCATGTAGCAACTTCTTACAAATCACACGAGACAATCACATGCCAAACATTCAAAGACGGCTGCTCCTCAAGGTATTCAGAACTCTCAACTTTGTCGGCGTCTTCACCTAGAACCACGATATCATCCGAATATATTCAAAGTCAAAAACACTACTTATTCTCTCGTAACAAGTCCATCCGTGAGTTGCTCAAGTCAGTTAGGGTTAAGTCCATTAGCACACACATCTACGATGAAATTTTAAAAAAAAATGGGGACAGTCGGTATCCCTGACGAACACCACTGGTTGTCACAATTACAATGGTTAGATATTCATCATAGAACTAACATCTCAGTTAGAGCCATCTCATTGAAAACCAGTAAGGAGCACTGAAGTAACATCGTCACCAACCAGCTCAATAATGGCTACTACTATTGTAACAACAGAAGACAAGGGCCAGGCAACCGATCGTTTATTAAGGAAAATCAACACATATTTATAGATTTTAATGCACATTATTGTAGATTATTGGTAGTAGAAAATACAGTATTTTGATTGGTTGTTTCTCACAGAAAGGTAACCTTGCATCTCTTTGTGGCTGTGTCAGATCATCCGTATGCTAACTGTATCCGCCTACGCAAAGCCTTTGTTCTCATTTGCTCACCACCAATATTGGGGACATAAACACTGACGTCAATTACTGTCTACCAACTTTGACTAGCAGCCAGCTCTCACCACACTACTACTACGGCGTCGACTGGATGGATTTCCTGAAGCTGTCTGTACTGAGAAGTGGGGTGACCAGCTGGGTCCACAAAATCACAAGGGGAATGGAATGTTCATTGTGGAGGCATTGTTTGAAGGAAGTGCTATATCACCACCACCACAACAGGTCACTGAGAATTCCTGCCCAAGGGGTTCAATGGTCAACGGGCTTCGTCTTATAATCTGAAGGCCCAGAGTTTGATCCCACCCTGGAAGGGTGGGCGATGGTGAGGAGTCTCAGAATAAGACGAAGCACCCGTCCACTGCTCTCTGTCTCTCTTTAACTGATGTTGGTTGGTTGAGAAAATCCAGCTATTGTAAATAAGAAATGAGGACACCAATAATAGTCAGTTGCAGGAATTGTTGAATACAGCTCAGAAAAAAGATGTGTGTCAACCATACTTAACTCAGAATCGAAAAGCTTCTAGGATGATAAGATTGAGAGAAAAATATTCAGACTAACTCTCTTCAGTGACTGAGACTGACACTTTGTCAATAATTTATAATTAGAAATATGATCAAATGTAGTGAGTATAAAAGAAATAATTATATATCAAGACAACTTACAGCAAATACTGAAGTTAGAAAACCCAGTATCAATCCAGCTAAAACATCCGTCGCATGATGATAGTGATCAGTTACACGAGTAGTGCACACATATATCAAACTAGCGATTAGTGCATACTGAATGAATGGTCGAAACAAAGGCAATGGAGGCAACTGCAGGCGAGCTTGGAGATATATCTGTCAGAAGAAGAAAACAACACACAGAAGACAGTTTAGTCGAGGTGGTGGCGATGCTGCAACTGCAGCTGCTGCAAAAAACTACAAGTTTCTCAATATCGCGTTTAAGAGTGGAAGTCGTTCAGAACTTTTACACATACATCTATAAAGCGTTAAAGCAATGCCAACAGGGTTACTGCACTCAGTGACAGTGACTCATTCAACAATAACGTTCTGGGATGTTCCTACTCAATACTCTGCTTCCTTTGATGCTGCAAACTTCTGCATAGTTCAACATAATACGTAATTTTACGTGTTACACTTCATAGTTAGTGTAAATAACCCCAAAACAGGCTGATTCCTCACGAAATATCACCATGGATACAAAAGCCTCGTGTGCCACTTGCCAACTTACACCATCCATGGCTTAGCAGACGTGATATCCGGTGGGCTATCGATCAAACGAAGTGCGTGTAACTTTGCTCCCTCCTCCTTTATGGTTAGCTGGCTATGAGGTATGGCCATTGGAAGTGGAAGGCATGAAAAGGCTGCATGTCTTTGACCACGGATGCCTCTCTTTTCTCTCCTGTGTCCGATGGTATAACATGGTGAATAATAATTCAGGTAAGGAGGCAAAGTTAATCGATGATGAGGTTGCGAAGCAGTTACTTCGATTTTGATGGCTAGGACGTGTGTCACACACAGACACCCCACACTATCACATCAGATTGAGATCAGATAATTCGTCTAATTAATTATTACCTTCTCAAATTGGACTTTCGTGTTCAGCTCATTCACTTTTGACGTGGCATCGCAAAATTTAGGTCCAAGTGTTAAGATTTGCATTTGAATCGGTGATAGTGAGACATCAGAATAATTAAACACGTATTTCTCTGGGGAAGTAAAAGAAACCGTTTCTTTGGTAACAGACTTTAGACTTTGGTTTAGTTTTATTATGACTTCCTCAAAATGAGAATTATCTTCGATGCAACCGTCTTTTTAACAACTACTATCATCCAATGTGTGTATTTCATGATTTGACCTTATCACGTCGTTTCTATTCTATCTTCCTGATCATTACACTTTCAAATTTCATTAATTTGACCTTTGGCAGGAAATAATCCTGGAAATTTCTCACACATTCACTACAAAATACAAAAATGTTTGTTGAGAAGTATATTTGCTTCGCTGTAACCCCATTTTTAATAATTCCGTAATCGCGTATTTCCAAAATTTTTCCAACCTATCCTCAAAAATTGAGGAAAAAACATCACTGTGATTGGCAGCGTGCATTCAAATGTACAGAAATTAATCGTATCACTGTCCTTCAAGTTGTCAGTAGTACTAGCTGCAGGTCTCTGCCTAACAAAGCCGACTACCTCCAATCTCTAATATCCTCAAAATGTGTATCGAAATGCTGGTGTTTCAACCATACAAGAGACTTGGCTCCACCAGAAAAATTGACGACAATCTAATTTCACTAAATGGACATAAAATTCCCCATCACAACAGACACAGTTCAAAGAAAAAGCATAACGGTGGGGTAGCCACTTTTATCAATACACAGTGGTCTACATGTAGTCATGTATGTTTTAATTTTTCCAGTGACAATACACACTGTATCGCTGTTAGGTGTCGTCCACAGCATTTAAGAAAATATTCCTTGAGGTCGCAGCCTTCTTATATCACTTGGTCACAAGAACCTTGTCAAATTCAATGCTTGTCTGCACAAAACACCCTAGACTTGCTTTTCATAGACGATCGTGACATATATGAGGCGTGAAGGAGAGCTACACTGCTGAATTCTGACCAATGCATTATTCGTATTCTACGGAGAGTGTATGGCAAGTTACACGGAAGTGCTATAAAAGGACACAGAACAAGTTGGATTCAGGAAAGGCAAATCATCTGCGGATCAAATTGCAACTCTACAAATCATCATCGAACACAGCATACAATGGCAATCGAATCTTTCTCTACCTCGACTTCATCGACTTCGGAAAGTCCTTCGACAACGTTGACATAGAAGTTATTTGCAAACTACTTCAACACTATGAAGTGTCCAGTGCCCCAAATCGTTATCAACCTCATTCAACAGCTTGCTCTATGTGATAGTGCCACATATCATAGTCATATATAATCCACAAAGGAGAACTCAGAGGAACCTTTGAAGTGAAGACAGAAGTAATACAAGGCTGACTACTATCACCAACAATGATATCCCTAATTGTCGTCGACTGGATTATACCGAACACCGTGAGTGGAGCACAGCTAGAAAACAGGAATACGCTGCACTGACTGATAAGAAGACTCTAGAAGATCTGGAGACATCACGGATGATTTATATCTAGTGTCACATAAATTCGAAGACTTACAGACGCAAACCAACAAACTGGCAGAAGAGGCTGACAGCGAAGACAGGACTCCATCCAGGTGAACATGGAGAAGACGGAGGTGATGAAAATGCCCAGCTAACAACAACAACCAACCACTACCAGCTGGTGAAATTGGAAAGTGATCACTTCACTTATCTAGGAGGCAGTTTCGTTTCAACTACAGCCAGTATACGGTACACATGAGGATGTCAAAACCAGCCAGACCAGAATCCGAAAGACACGATAGACAGACATTCACCATTTTGAAATCAGTCTGCAAATCTTCTGCACTCAGCCTCAGCATAGACAACAACATTCAGATTATCAACACCCATGTGGTTAAATCAGTTAGTGCTTCTATATGGGTCGGAAACTTGCACTGCGTGTGCATCACGAAAGGAATTTCCAACAGGCTACACGACAGACTTTCATCAACAGCTGCCTCCTTCGCTGGCTGGTTCCATACTGAAGATCAGCTGAGCAACAAGAAACTCTGGAAACGAACCAATCGAAAACCTGCTGTTCAAAAAGTAACCCAAAGAAAATGGAAATGAATTCGACACACACACACACACACACACACACACTGGAGTGAAATCCAAATGGAGAACGAGGAGTTGGGCGTGTCCGAGGGTGACATGGAGAAGATCATGTGAGTAGAAGATCAGAACCTATGGACAATCGTTGAGCCAACAAAAAGCGAAGTGCTGAGAACAGGACAAAATGCAAATGTTGTGTTGAGGCCTCACACGTTCCACTGGAAACCTAGCAGTCGACATCAACAGCACAATAAATTAACATTAATAGGAGAACACAAAGGCACATTAATTTAAAATATAACTTCAAAAATTATGTCAACACATACCACAGAGAAAAAGACACCTGCAGCAGCTGTTGATGCATGACCAGACACAAATGATAAGCTAAACAAAATTTTAAAAAACTTTTATCACTATTCTTTAAACACAAAAGAACTTGGTACAGTATGGCACCAAAAATAATGATAAAACATATATTAGAAGTAAAAATATGGGTGGAGAACGGATAAAGAACATCATCTGGAAGGAAAACAATCATACTTAACAAGTTCAAACAGCATTCGTCAACTATTGTCGGGAAGGCAAGAAAGAAGGAAATTGCAGCACATTCGCCATTGATTACGACTCTTGGCCATATTTGATTATGTTTCGAGCCATCGATCCGAGCTATCTCTCGAACTCTAACCAGGGAGTCATGAAGCACCAACCGATGCTAACCTAACGCGAACATCCTTCGTCCCACGATGCCAAGTCATGGGCTGACCACCACCTACCTCTCCGAATTTTTCATCCCGTCCCAGGGCTGGTCAGCGAACAGAGACCTGTACGGAAGCCTCTGGCATGATATTCGCAGCACATGTCCCAGCCACCGAAGCCAGTGTTTCCATATGACGATGACACTCAACGAATGGTGATCTCCACTGTGTCCAAACACACGCCGCCAGAACTCAGAATTACTCACGCGATGATGCCATCGAACGCAAGCAATCCCTCCGGAGATAGCCATGGCCGAATACGCAGAGTCGCCGTACATCCTCAGCTCACCCGGACAGGACAGGTTTCACAGGTGAAGGCCAAGACAGCCCGCACCGAAGCATTGCAAACCCAACCTCTGACAACCAGGCAAACGTCACGACGGTACTAGAGGTGGCTAAAGTTAACGTATGCCACCCTAACTTTCATGATACGGTTGGAAATTTCATCCATCACCCCTCCGCCACCACCCACACAACTATCCAGATACACAAACTTATCAAAAACTTCAAGGGGTTCACCTACAAGAGTGAGTGCAGATACAGACTCCTGCCAATTTTGTAACAGTACTAATTTGCACGTAGACGGCGCAAAGCACATATCATACTTACAGACACTGGTCGCCAACTGATTAAGTGCGATTTGGGCAGAAGATGTCGTCTGCATACTTGAGGTTGAAAAGTCTCTCTCTAGGGAGATCTACACCACCTTCAGAGTTGACTCAAGCATGTCATCGATGGCAAAGTTAAAGAGAAATGGAGAGATCGGGCAACCCTGTCTAACCCCACTGTTGGTTGGGAACAGTGATGATAGTTGGTTGTATGCCTTCACACTACCTGAGGTGTTTCTGCATAGAGCTTTCAGGATGCTGACAAACTTCTCAGGTACACCCCTCTTCAACAGACAGTTGCAGAGCACAGTTCTTGCCAAAGAATCGAAGGCAGCCTCAACAAAAAGAAACACAATGATTGTTGGCCTGCAATACGTCTGGCGGTGTTCCAACAACTGACGAAGGGTGAACACATGATCAATGCATCCACGACCTGAACCAAACCGAGCCTGCTCTTCGCGAATCAATCCCTCACGTGTTTTATACAGCCTGCAAAGCAAGACAGCAGCCAATATTTTAGATGCAACTGCCAGCAGACTGATACCCCTATGATTGTCATATGAGTTACGCCAACCCTTTTTAAAGACGGGGACAATAATGGCTTCGTTCCACATTGATGGTACATTCTCAGTTTCCCATACTTTCCTGAATAATCCAGTTAAAGCCATTACTAGGGTTTCACTACCATCTTTAAAAAGAGCCGGGGGTAGATTGTCTCAGCAGGGTGCCTTATGGAGTTTTAATACTTGGAGTTCCTTACGAACCTTTGCTTCGATTGGCGGGTCGGTACTAAAGCTGGCGGCCAGCTAAACTGCTTCGTAAAGTGATCTGCCCAGTGTTTTAGGCGTCTTTTCAGGCTGGTAATTGGCGTGCAACCCGCCTCACATGTCGTCACGCTAACACTCTGTTTCTTGCTGCCAATGGCTCGGATGAGATAGAACAGCTTCCAACCGTTGCCAGATGCAGCAGCTGACTGCATCTCACACGCACGTTCTGACCACCAGGCTTTGCGGTCCTTACGTAAATACTGTCTAATTAGACAAGCATTCTTTATAGCCACAAGTGGCTACACTCGCCATTTGCATGGCGCCTTGCAGATGAAGCCAATGTTCATGTATACTACTTGAGAGGTTGCTAGCAAGCATTGATTTTAACTCATTCTGGTATTTCAAAGAAGTAGAAGGTACTACTAGTTTGCTCACATCAACGATTAGACGACGCCTTTTATGACACACACTAACGCATGATCAGAGTCCAGGCATGTGCTCCAAAAGGAGCGGGAGTCTTGTATGTATCCTCGCCACCGAAAACTGACAGCAATATGATCAATTTGAGTCCAAGCTTAATTCGCAGAGGGAGGACGCCAGGTGGCGCTACAGTGATGGCTGGCCGGAAGTTGGTGCTGACTAGAAATAGGCTGTGATTTGCGCAAAGCTGCAGAAGACGCTCTCAATTATCCGACCTGGGACCATGTAAACCCTATTGACCACCTAGACGATTCTCCTCTGAGCTTAGACGCACGACCTGTGCATTCAAGTCCCCAGTCAGCACTACGATGTCCCTCCAACGAGCCTGTTTCAAGAGCACGCTCAGTTGGCAGTAGAACTTATTTTTAATTGCATCCGTGCTGCAATCTGTCAGTGCATAGGCAGAGACAACGACCGTCTGGCCTACCACTCCTGATTTTCGTATAGCCCTCCAGTCTCACACCATACAAACGACTGTTAGTGGGGATCCAGTCGAGTGATGCAGCTCCGGCTCTAGCACTTAGTGCGACACCGACACCAGCCACGCCGAATGCCGACGCCACAGGGTCCCCGGACAAGCGCAGGTGGTACATAATATTCGAACTTCCAGATGGAGAGGATAATCGAAACACTTCACTGGGATCTTGAATGTGGGTCTCCGAAATACAACAGACATCGATAGCGAGGCTTTCCAATGTTCTCACCAACCCTGCCTATTGTCCGATTTGCATCAGCGTCCGAACATTGTAGATGGCCAGCTTGAAGGCGGCACGCGGTTTCAGGATATCTGTGTTAGATGCGACATTGAATTGGGGACAACCATTTTGAAGGCTACTTACTCACTAACATCTCGAAACGACACAGATAGGTTGGGAATTCAGACAAAGGCGAAAGGCTGATGAAAGTGAAGACGTGTAGGTTAGTATATGTAAAATACAGGAGTCCATGTATAAAAATAAAAGTAAGGTTGGAAAGAGATGTGTCACTTGAAACATCATTATTGCTTTAGAGCATTGTTAAGAGCGCGCGATAAGTTTCACTGACAGTTTGTTGCTTTATTTCGTTGGTTGTATGAGGGCTGAAATATTGCCCGGGCGCTCAGACCGAAACAAGTCTTAATGGACCACCCTGCGAGCCTTTGACTTGGAGTCTAATCCGCACGGCAGCGGAACAGCATCAGGAGCTACGTTCCCATGGTTGCCAGTGACCAATGCAGGTTCATACGCCATTTGATCCGATTGGATTCTGGAGCCCATGTACCTCGTGGTAACCGCTTTTAGTCTAACCACTATCCACACAACCTTCCTAACACGGTAGTGCATGCAGGAACAGGAGTCCCAGACAGCTTAACTTGTTGGGTAACTGCAGTATTCAAGCCCGACCACCACGACAAGATAGCAGTTGTATGCCGGGAAGAACAAAAAACAGAGCATAAACGCATTACTAAAAATACACAGAAGAGTAAACACAAAGATAAAAATTTGCAAAGCTAAGAGTGTCACCTTTTTTACGACAGATCACATTTAAATATTTTGGGGTAATGATGACGGACTGACTTAACGTGAAGTGAGAATTCGACCTGTCACAGAGCTACAAATACCACTTTCTTTCTTAAGGGAACGAATTTGTCAACTAGCCACTTGTATTCAAATGACACTGAAGACTTTCAAGCAGATAGATGCGCCGTTGGTCTTTCTTCGTTGCTTGCTTTCCAAGCTCGGTTATCCACTTATGCGGCGCTTCCACTGCTCTTTTGAACAAAATCTTCACAGATAACTTCCATATAAAGGTTGACAAACAGACGTCGCTTGTTCTTTAATAAATAAACTATACAGCAGTGTTACATACACTGGAGGACTGCACCGAGGAATGTGTTGACAAACAGTTACGAAATTTCCAAAGAATCTCTTGATGGAAAATACTTCCCCATCCAGATTCATAGACAAGAACCTGAAGCCAAAAACAAAAGCTGCTGAATAGTTCCAGGTTACCCCACCCCACCCCACCCCTACACGCACACACATATACACACCCAGAAAGTACCCTGATCCTGGATCCAGAATTTAAAAGTGATACTGAAGCAGAAATTATCCGAAGACACTTTTTAAAATCTCTCTGCCAGACCAGTAACAATTTTTTCCTCCAAGAAACTATTCGACTAGCACATGAAGGACAAACTGTCGTCGCATTGGGTCGTATCATCAACACTCATGTACCAGTTCGTTTGCTCGTTTGGGGCTGAATACACTGACCGTATCATACATCCACTTGTAAAACACACTCGGTAACACCATCCACTATGGCTAACAAAGAGAGAACAGAACACATCTATCTGGTGAACTCAAGATAATGATCTATTGAAAAATCCTTCAAAATCCTATACAAGAGCTGATTATATCTCTGAAAGGGAGTGAAATTAAAATATCTACACATAGCTGAAGTACTACCATCAACTCAAAATCTCAAGCCAATGCTACTACTATGTATTCAAAAGTACATCCAACTCTTGTCTTTCCTACAGCTATTATAAACAGTCAATTCTCTCAATAGTGATTATCCCCCATCACCTTTTACTTATCATAACTTCCTGTTTACTAATTTTGTAATTAAAATTACGTTTTTAGTGCCCATTTGTATTCTTGTTAATCGTTATAATTGAACCCTTGAAGCAAAATTGTTTAGGAACTTTCCCCCATCCCCTTACTACATGTAAAGAGAGAGAGACATGCACAAATACACAGCCCAGTTGGTGACTTTGTCAAAAAGAAATAAAACATTTCCGTCGCTGCAACTGTCCTTTTTTCTAATTTTTCCTTATCATCCAATGTCTATATTCGCTCCATACGTGAATCGTTAGTCTTTCACAAAAGTCCCTCAGGGCTGGCTTTCTGTCTGGCTAAACTTAATGAAGAAATGTATATTTCGCCAACTGAAAACTCATGACTGAATCCAAGCCCGATTTATTATTGATTACTAGTAATAACCAAACTCAGGGATTGATTTGCTCCTAGGGAATAATCTCGTTGACTTAGAATATGCAGACGATATAGTCCTTCTAGGCGAGGACGCTGAAAAAATCCAGCAGAGTCTTCTGAACACCTTGAGCTGCAATCGACGAATGTTTGGCATGCGATTCGCTCCCGCCAAATGTAAGATGATGCTACAGGACTGGACTACACTGACTCCTAGTTTAGAAATAGTGAAGTGGTAGAGCACGTTGACCGCTTCACTTATTTGGGAAGTACCAGCAGCCAGTGCCAACGGGTTGATCTCTGACGAAATTTCAGTATGGATACAGAGGGCTAGTTTCGCATATGCCAGTTTACGCCGTCTCTGGCGTAGACGTGATATCCAGCTATCGACCAAAGGGCGTGTGTACTGCTCATCAGTCCGCTTCGTCTTCCTTTATGGCTGTGAGACCTGGCCATTAAGAGTGGAAGACATGAAAAGACTAACTGTCTTTGATCATGGGTGCCTGCGTTTTATCTCCCGTGTGAAGTGGTATAATAAGGTCAGCAATACTGAGGTTAGGCGTCGAGTGCTAGGTAAGGAGGGGAAATCAATCGACATGGCTGTTAAGCTACATCGACTGAGATGGTCAGGACATGTGTTACGTATGCCTAGTCATCGCCTTCCTCGACAATGGGTAATGTTAGCTGACATAGGGTCAGGTTGGAAAAGAGCTAGCGGCGGTCAAACCAAAACATGGCACCAGTCAATGAAATCTACAACAGTTAGTCTAAGCCACGTAGGAAGGTGTAGACTTCCTGACTGGTTGGGGTCCTCGGGACGGTAAAAACCAATGGTTGGAAACAATTGGTGACATGGCTCAAAATCGTTCTCAATGGCGCAGATGCATCCACTCCTTGTGACTTGTGATTTCCAATGAATCTATATTATTCTTCGTTACTACTATTCCTTTGTCTCTCACCTCTGTTTACTGTCTATATTATGCATTTCTTCCCTTGCTTTTTGTGCTACATTGAGTGTGGCGACTTGAACTGCCACACAACGGTGAAAAGTTCTATGTCGAATACAGACTTTAACTTTAACTGTTATAAAAGTACTATTTCTCTTTTCATTTCAGAGACAGATTTTCAGATGGGGAAATTGCACAGCATCAAGCCTACCTACATTTTGTAACATACTTTCTTATTCCCTTATTTTCCCCTTAATGGAACACACAGACAGGGCTTCAAGCTACAGCTTTCAAGTTGCGGTAGCAGTGGTGAAGTTGTTGCTAACCTCAGACCCAAACCTTTCCTCTTTACCGGTCCTATTATCAACTTTGCAGAGTTCAAGGGTGCATCAGCCGGGAATCGAACCCCGAACTACATGAGGCGTGGTTGACGAGCATTCCACAGCTGTGCCATCCACGTACTCAGTAACATATGCATTGTCTTCAAATGAAAACAAGCATTACACACAACTCAAATGTTTTATATTGAAGTGTGGAGAGATAACAGACCTTGAAGCTAACAGCGCTAACTGGTATTATTTGAAGTCACGTCATTGGCTTGGAAGTGAATTCAAACAGTGAATATAATACAATAAATAATTACAAGTTAAAAAGCAAAAGATTGAGCAGAGAATATCATTTACGGTAATTTCCTCTTTGTTTCTATATATATATATATATATATATATACATATAGTATATTGACCAGTTGATGGAGGTTTTCTATATACATTTCTTCCTATTGTACCATCCTTTTTTCTAGTCATAAGGACGTCTAGGAATGATTTACTGGAGTTTTTTCCCTTTGTCGATGGTAAAATTTATTGCAGGCTGAACATCGTTAAATTTGTCCAGGATGTTCTTTGCTTCATCATCATTTTTAGTAATCAAAAAATGTATTATCCATGTAACGACAGCAGAATTCGAGTTCATGAATAACATCCTTCAAAGGCCCATTTTCTAGTTTCCCAAGGAAAATGTCGACTAAAAATGGTCCTAGTGATGTTTCCATAAGTAGTACATTGGTGAACAAGGAGGATACGTCAAATGATATCATGAATTTATTGTCAACACTTAAATCTTTTATCCTTTCAATACATTCAAACTCATTTTTTACGCTGTATTTCACCAATTCAGTATGTAGTGGCTATAAGAGTTCGACTAATCATTTGGCCAGGAGATGGTATGATGAATTTAACATATCTAATACAAGTTTTGGGGAAAATATGATCAGTTATAGAGATATTATCTATAAAAATAAAACTACTTACAAAACATCATGAATTAAATCTTGTCTAGTGCCTTGACATGTGTACACCGTTTGTAGTCCTGTACAATTAAGCGGAACATTCGGTTGACACACATCCCAAAAATGCGGTCTCAATCGACCCAGGTTATACTTTGTAAGTGTTGTCAAGAAGACACAAACTCCGTGTGACACAAGAGAAGCAATACAGAAGTCATAAATAAATGGCAGTGACTAAAAATAGGATAATCCAATGTTAGTATATTGGTAAAGTTAAAAAAATGAAGAGAAAGGAATTTTATTTTATCAATTGATAAAACTCACACTTTTCATTGAATAACTCCTTTCGGTTTTTTTTCTAAATATTGCTGTGCCTATTTCCACTAGGACAATCTTTAGAAATCGAATGAAAATGAAAGATTTTACATCGACTAACTTACTATAACAATCGGCGTTAGATAACCATATAGGCATACTGCTAGAGAGGATACAGTATTGCCTTTGTACGGATATTTAATGCTCCAATCATCACAAAAGAAACTCCATTTACGACTACCGAAAAACTTAATCAGAAAATACACTGCGTGAACTGGTATTTAAAATACACTGATGAAAGTTTATCTAACAACTTACGCAGAATAATAGTCAGTAAATCAGAAGTAGCGCGAAGAAATAAAGGAACATTCAGCTTTGACCTGCTACACAGTGGAACACACGCCATCGACAAAATATTGCGAGTTTCAGCCAACCAATCTCTCTTATCTACAAAGACAGAATTATGTATGCGTTGACATAACAGTAATTTTACGTTATTACAACAGAAAGTATTATTATATAATAACTAAAGAACATTACTCACTCCACCAGTGAAAGCAACAAAACACCTTTTCAAAATATAACTAGTTTTAGTGCGATATTATTTAGCAGAAAGTGGCTTAGTACTTTATAAGCTCTCATCGATTAGTGCAAACAATGAAAACAGTAACAAAATACCAATCTTGCTTCTAACCTAGCGAATAACTTTGAAGGAGAAAAGATTATCTTGGAAGGTGTATCCGTCTAAGCTGTCACTCTTCATAAGGCTTTAGAAGAACAACACCACTAAGAAACTGTGACTCACGTGAAGCCTAAACAGACGCATAACCAGTGGATTAAATGAGACCCTTTCAGGAGAAACCCTATACATATATGTCAGTATTTAAAAGTATTGATAAAATAATGAAACTCTACCAAGCACTAATATAACCAGAAAATCCTTAACTCAAGGACGGTAAAGTTAAAATATAGTGGCTACGCCTGTACATGAACTTCGGCAACCATTTAGAGTAACCGGTGGTATAACTAAGTCAAAGTAAACATCTGACAGACGAGTTCCAGGAAGGCCAAGTGTCCGTAATTACTGTGATTACTGTAAAGCCTCGAAACAGATTGTTCTGTCACATCGGATGTCCTTTCATAATCCTCATTTCTTTTTCGCAACTCTCCTAAGCAAACTAGTCATCCTATCAAGCATACCCTAAAAACGAATATCTCGGTAGCTCAAGTTACTCTACTATTCACACAGTAATCGTACACCTAAATTTCCCGGAACTCGCTAAGCAAATGCATAATAGGCTGTATAATTTGAACAATTGTTCAACAGGTTAACCTGTTAGTTTGACTGATTATCAAAGATCCTTGACATGGGTAGCAGCCCTACAGACAGCCGTTTAGAATTAAAGGAGGAGGAGGAGGAAAATTAGTAGGTTTGTTGGCGAAACGTATATATAAACGTACACTGCCTAGTTTACATAGAAAAATTATGACTTCAGCCTAACCTACCCAGTCGGTTAATTTTTTTTGGACCTGGGATATGTGGGTAAAAACGTGGGCACTTTGTCGTTTGTAACATGGGTAAAGTGGGAAGAAGTGGGCTATTTTCAAAAATGACATGGGGAAAGTGGGTAATCGTGGGCTATTTTCAAAAATGACATGGGCAAAGTGGGTAATCGTGGGCTATTTTCAACGTGGGTCACGTGGGAAAACAAGGCAAAAGTGGGAGAAAAACATTTCTACGCATATGGGCAAAAGGGGAGAAAATGGGTTATGTGGGCAAAGTGGGTAAAATTGGTTGCATTTACACCATCTTTTGCCCACCTTTTTGCCCATCAAAACTACCCGTTTATCCCATGTTTTGCCCACATTGCCCATGTGCATTAACCGACTGGGATAACTGCACTACGTCAGGGTTGTATGCCTATTCACACAGCTAAGACTAACTTGAAAACTAGAAAATCACATCTGGAGCAAACTATGAGTGAAAAACCTGCAGCTTTTATTATTAACGTCCGTTAATAACATGATTATTGGTCACCACGTTATTCTGAAGGTTCCTGGTGTTGATCCCTATTCCACAAACTTGTTCGCTTCAACTAAGTGATAGGAAATTCTGTTATAAACACCACAAAAATTATCTGATAGCCCTACAAGGAAAAAAACAAAGCACCTACCGGAATCTAAACACCTCTAGGTCAAATGTCGTGCACAGCGCCAAACCTTCGGAAACAACTGGACTAGTAGCACATTGGTTAATTCAAAGATCGCTGTCTCTTTCAGAAGAATGCTTGCTATTTACTCTATAATGAATTGAAAATGACTGAAAAGGAGAATGACTCTAAATGTACACTTATGAATACTTACTGTTTCGATGACTTAACTACTTGTTCGCATAACCCTGGCTAATGGCTGGCTCTAAATCTTCTTTTCAAAATACTCCGCTGAATTATTTTTTCTATTCCATATCCACTGAAATCTAAGCTTCCATTCATGTGTTTCATAAATGATCACACAATATGCCAGTATAGATGGTACACTAATTGATGTGAATAATTTTTCGTAATTGTGTGAAATAGGTGATAGCACTACTATACGACGTAAATCCGATACTGAAGGCTGCTCGCAAACTCGCTTCCGATATCATCAGGTAGGCCGAAATGACAGATTAACTGTTCTGCTTAAAATCTTCTACCACGTTTAGAATACACCCAGCTGACTGACTACAGCTACTCGAGTATGTTGTTTTGCCTCAAATCAAATCAGTTTATTCAGGGAGTAGTGTTAAAACTCAACTAGTGAATCAAAATTACCCTCCCTCCAATTGATTGAGGTGGTAAGTGTTGAACTGCTATTTCCGGAGTAGTACTTCAGGAAACATGATTGGCAAGTAGTCTTCAAGTCACGTAGCAACATGGGCCATCAACAAAATCGCCAAGTCTTTCTATTGAGGAAGATATCCCGTTTCCTTCCTATCTCCATAACTCTCACTCAGTCATCTCACGCTGCATATTTCTCAAGGAGACCCAGGTACTTTTAATTCCTACAGTGAACTAGGCGTAACTGCACAACCACAGTCCAAGAAGTTGGAAATTTAATTGTGATGTAACGTAGGAGAAATCAAGGACCTGATTCGACTACATTATTAAACACCACGCAGGCAAAATAATTTCCATGGTGAACACATTTGCAGAATGCTGCCAACTAGACATAGGTAATGGTGTCAGGTCAAACCACGTAATTCTCTTCTTCTATTAAGGTGATAAAGCTGCTTCCATCTAAGCATTTGAATTATGGATTGATTGCCAAAACATTTTAGTGACTTAGGGGAAATCAACCCACAGCTGCAACCTACAGAGAATTTCACCTCATGAAATCTCACCCAGTGAATTAACACTTCGGTGTTCTATGTGGACTGAATTTGCGCACAAAAGCTGTCGCTCCCAAGGTAAAAATCACATTTAGTGTCTGAACGGCGATGTCGTTTGGAGGACGCATTAGAGCGCATGATAGTATAATAGAACAACAACATTTATGACGTCAAGAAGCGAGATAAACTCACACTCAAATCTAGTACCACAGTGAGGGAGTGTTTGCACTCAATTCCAGTATACGGCCTCTAACTGTAAAGTGACCGCGAAATTGAAAGATACATTATTCCGGTTCTTCAGTGAAAAACACGTTCATTGATCATGAAATTGGAGGACTCGTCCAGACATTTCAGTAACGTAATGGTTGGTGATTAATTGCACTGCTTTGATGTATTCATCGGCTGCCCTTCGACTGCCAGGGTGAAAACTTTATGACGAACTGCCTAATTTGAAAGCTAAAGGTTCACACAGATCTCACCTGCGGCGCAGTGTTATAATGGTATAGGTCACTCACTTCTTTTTCTACCACCATATATCTGCAGTTAAATATATCTGAAGCCAGAGCACATATGATATTCAGCTATATATTAACTTAACACTTTAGTAAGAATAACACCAAATACTACTACACTCGAAAGCACACTTGAAGTATCTGGTGTGAAAACGATGCCGGTGGCAGCAAATCACCAACTTAGTGCATCCATCCATAAGACCAGTTTTCGAGTGAACCAGAGTCACTTGATCGGAAAATCATGGCAGAATCTAAATACTTCAGGTAACTTCTAAGATACTCCTGAAAGTGGTCTGTCAGGAGACATGGTAGTGTTCACAAATGTGAATCGCTCCGATCTGCAGGACAACAACATGCATTTTTTGACAGCTCGAGGAATAAAACATTAGTCTGGACCCCCAACAAAAAAACAAAAAATAATAAGGGTTGTACAGATCTAAATTATAAATAAAAAAGTGCTCTTGCTCCTACCATCTACAAGCTTGTTCCGCTTCTTGTCAAGATGCCCCACTGGGCCCTACAGAAATTCGTCAGACATCTTACAGGCCAGCCTGTCCTATGGGTTCTAATTTTCCAAATCTTGGAATTCACTCCTCACTGAAATATCAACTACCTACCTTATATATATATTTATTCCTGTTTATGCAGGAACATACCAATTGTACAGGCATGGATAAGTTATTATATAAATTACAGTTTGTTTGTTCAATCTAACATTAGAGTCAGTCAGAACAGTCTGCAAAATAGTCTGTCTGTGTAACACATAAAGAGATATAGAAATATTGTCTTCGCATTAACAAAAAACCCATC